GGGTGTCGTACTGCAGTTGGCTCCATCACCCATCAGGCTGCCGAAACCACGTTCGTTCGATTTTGAAAACCCGGGGACCAAGTTAGGAGCAATTACCTGGAGATTTACCTAGAAGAAGTCTTACTTTGTCACTTGTAGCTTGTCAATTCATGCGTAGGCTTCTTTTAAAAAATACTCACCACGTGATAAAAACAAATTGCAGCCAATACCTTACAGACCGACTTTCATTAAAACTCCGTGGAAATAATTAATGATTCTCTACACGATCGAGCTGACACGAGGTTAGCACGAAAATTTTATCCTGCTAACATTTTGGCGCCTCCACCTTTTTTAGAGCTGCATTTATCCGGCTCGGTAGTCCACACTCGGCCGTTCTCGTGAAGTGGGTGGTCGTTGTCACGTCGAGTCGAATCAGTTTAAGTAAGCACCGCTGGAATGGGAATGTTCGTTCGGTGGTGCCTTCCTATATAGGCCCGATGTCGGCCTCTTATATCATCCACTTTAGGTGGGCAAAGCGTCCTGTAGCAGTGCAGTCGGTGCTTCGTTTGTGGGCACGCAGCCTGGTAAACAATATTTTAAAAACTGGTTGCAACAACGAGCACCCATCTCGCGACAACGACCACCTATGAACCACGGACCCAAAACAATTCGGCTGTGAGGAAAGTGAAGGCATGAAAACGTTAGTCGAATAAAGGTTTTCATAGCAACCTGGTGTCAGCTCAGTCATACAATAAAAAAAGCATACAAACAAGACAGGCTCAGTCTCATCTCAGAATGCTATAAAACTTTTGAAAATTTTGAGAAGAAGGCAAATGACCGACGCTACACGAATGGGTGGTTCACTGACAAAGAGTGACACTGATCGCAAACCATACTGAAAAACACCAATGATGTTATTGTTTTCACAGTATTTTGATAATCATTATAGGTGAGCTTGTCGGATAACATAAGAAAGCTGTTTTCCTCCTGCCTATTTAAAGCAGGCCAGTTACAAAGGAAGCACCACTTCTACTGCTGCTGTTGCCGTAGTTATTTGGCTGCCTTCAAACACACCGACGGTTTTTAAGCAGTAAGTATCAGATGTTCTAGTAACAGTCGCCATTCTAGTCTAAATAGAACTTTATTACTGAGATGTACGATGCTGAAACATGCGCAAAACTCGGAAACCTAGGTGAGCTCTGAGCCGCGATTACCCTTTTCAGGGCTCACGTGTTATCCACTGAATCACCAACGCTCTTGCATCGCTTTTCTCTCTCAGGTGAGAGAAAAAATTATGCTTAATTCATTGATTTTCCTTCATTTCATTTACTGGATTTAATTCATGCACTCATGCCGATTTTTGCTTCCCAAGTCACTCCCTTCGACCGGTGATTGCAAATAGCACTGTTTTGGCGAAAACTGGCTGAGAGAAAGGCGAAGAATAGGTCTTAGCGCCACAGTGGATAACATGTTGAGCCCTCGGAAATGGTTCTAGTGGTTTCGTTGCTCACCTGCGGTTCCGCATTTTGCTCACATCACAGCATCATTCTGGTTCTAATTCACATAAAACCCTTCCTTGAGAAAAAATAGTAGGCAGTAAATAAAAAGTAAAACACTCCCAGTTCAGCTGCACCCACGAAAGGATAGAGCACGCAGCCACGCTCCCGATTACTGCTATAGTTGAACGGAATGTGACGCAATTGGTCCACTTGCACTTTCGAAATAAAACTCTACGCCTGTTTTCCAAATATTTGCACGAAACGTTGTATTTTCAGCAAACGATGCCTGTTCGTATGGACGTCGACGATATGATCATCCGACTATTAAACGTCGGTGTGCCAGGCTGTGCACTGGTTAACAATGTGAAGGAATCCGAACTGTTGGTGCTCTGCCAAATTGCGAAGTATGTGCTTAATGTACATCGAATTGAATGATGTATAGCATCTAACCACGAATTTAAACCGTGAATAAGCCCATATCGAGTCCACAGAGCCTTTAGAAACCAATACGCATGGTAATGTTGACTTTCAGATTACGGAAACTCGCTCAGACGCGCTGATTTTCTTGTTAATGATAAAACTTGAGTGACGATATCCATTGTTACAAAAACGGCCGCTTGTCGGTCAGAGTTGCTTAAAATGAACGTTTTCTCAAAATGCGACCAACGTGTGGATATCAACACCAGCTGACTCTACAACCAAAGACATCGTCCAGCGAACCTGTGCTTCCGTGCAGCAGTCGAACTTCTGCTTCTGCTAAACTACAATGGATTCTACTCGATGCAACTGCAACGCGACCCACACCGTAAGAAGCATGTGCTTTGGGCATTCGATCCGATTTATTGTCGTTCAGGAGAAAACATGAATTCCGCGAGGCATTAGCACGTCCAAGAAGCCGCTTTTTCCAACAATCTTATGTAGACTTATGAATACAACAAAATATGAAAGCATCATTGTTACCGCCCTCCATCCCTGTCACTAGACAACAATAATCTCCACTCCAAGAGAGTTTACATCTTTTTATACCTTTGCCGATCAATATGAAGCATAAATAGTAGATAGCACTAGTCTTTTGAGACCGCTTGCCACCATAAGCCAAGAACACAACCTTTCATTTTGAAATCGGTAGCGGCACAAATGGCTTTAATATTGTAAGGACCATCTCCGATTGCTAAGCTAACACAAAGTGTTCACAAAAATCAATATTTTCCAAAACAAACGAAAAATTGGCTACTTATATTGAGGCAAAGCGGTGGATATCGCAGGACTTGTCTTGTTCTTGTTTGTTGCATCTCTACTCATTTTTTTTAAGACATGTACTTCTTAGCCAAGCATCGCTGGTTGAGGTTCAAGCCCCTATAAAAATATGTGGAGATATTCATGGTCAATTTGCAGGTTTGTAAAGGTGTTTCGCTCACTACAACAATAAAAGAATTATTAACTACTGCCGAGTTGTTTATTCCTTCCTGAAAATTTTCCACGTTAATCCTAGATGTTCTGCGACTGTTTGATCGAGGTGGTTTCCCTCCGATGGTTAATTACCTCTTTCTTGGTGACTACGTTGACCGCGGCCATCAAAGTCTTGAATGCATTGCGCTGTTCTTCTGCTACAAGGTGAAGTGAAGAT